AAAAAAAAAAAAAAAAAGAGAGACTGGACAACAGGCTCAGTAACTTTTGCGGCCAGCTGCGGTTTCTCGACTTTTTTCCCTTACCATTCAGTCGCTGTAATCCTCAGACTCTGAATCATCGACCCTAGTCCTTTGCATATCATCCTCACCTGACTCGTCATCATCATAGTTGATGAATCCCATATCTCCTCCCTCCATATTCCCATTCACATCATCATCCTCTTCCTCCTCACTCATCTCATTACCTCTGTTCAAAACACCCACATCATAGCCCGACCGGCCCCAATTTTCGTACCCAATCAAATCCTCTTCTTCCTCTTCTTCTTCCTCTTCTTCTTCTTCCATGCTGCTACAACTACTTCTCTCATTATTATTCTCGACCATAACATTATTAATCCTATACCTGTAATCACCTGCCACATCCCGACCCGAATTTCTTGGCAACTGCACGGTATTTCTGAATGGGCTCTTCTCGTCTAAATAATCCTGCAAGCTCTTGTTTTCGGCCTTCTTCTCCGGTCTCCTCCTGACGGTCCTCCGGCCACGCACGTTCTTCTGCCCGCCTTGCTGCTGCATGAGGATCTGGACCAGCGTCTCCCCTTGTTTAAAGCTGTTGCTCTGCTTGGCGGGCCGCGATGTGGGCCCAACCTTTTGAGACTTGCTGCGTGGGCCCCCACCTTGGGCCCGAGCAGGCGGTTTAATGTAACCAGAGCTACCTGTGATGGTGTCTCGGAAGATCTCTAACTTCTCTTCCTTTATGCATCCGAGACTCTCGGGCCTCGTCTGTTTGCAGTATAGAAGAGTTATATAAGGTCATAAGAACATAAATGACAGTTACTATACTAGAATCAAGAGAGAGAGAGAGAGGGACTCAACTGGAAGGGCTTCCAATTTCTTCCGATCAGAGGACTCAGCCTTCTGGTTCGGAGTATAGAAGATCGACTCGTCTAGCTCCAAAAGCCTCAGAGCCATGGCAGCTGCAGTTTTCGGGATCCAAGGGAGTTGAGGGAGTCCAGAGTAATTACATTCATTCGAAGCACCTCTTGATGGGCCAAGACACAGCAATTCTTCTGTAGTCTCAAAATCTTCGGAAAGATAATCACGTCTCACGGCACCCTCAAGCCGAGTCAGGACCTGCAAAGTTATTTGCATACCACTTGTCAGATTATATTTCAGCAACCCAAACAAGACATGAAAATAAAATCACTCATTAAAGAGACCTGGATTAAACAGATTCTGGCCATATTTAGTATAAAAAGAAATTAGGAAAAAATAATATCCTTATGAATTAAATTATCATTCATTGTGAACCTGTAGGAGATCCTCGATGGATGACGATTTATGCAGGTCTAAACCCCACGCTTTCCTACAGTCTTCATTCCAGGAGGAATTAAGAGCCTCGGCAGGAAGAGTAACCTGCCATACATTTTTGTTAATTTTGTGTTACCATTTGAGAAAATATATGTAAACACATGCCAAAAAATAAAAAAAATAAATAAAAAATATTCAACCACTTGGTTGAACATATTTTACCTCAAGCGACGATAGAACGGCCTTGAGCAATCTGATTCTCAATGGAGACGAACATATTATTTGAGTTTGATGGCAAGAATGGCAAATGTCCTTGTTATCGTATGTATCAAGACAAATCTCACAAACTCCCAACACAGGTGAGCACCTGTTTTTCCCGTATGCCATGGCACGAACAACCGACGAGCTGAAGCACTCTTTCCATATCCAAGCCTGTAAGTCTTTGTATCTCTTCAGAAAATTCTTTCTCTCGGTCTCATTCCTACCTGTCTCGATTTTGAAAGAAGATGATGGTTCTGGCACATCCGAGTTTGTATTGGAAACTGCACTGCTGGGGCTCTCGACTTCTTGTCCAGCCATATCACCGTCATCATCTGCGATATTGGGGGATAAACAATTCCTTTGTAGACCTTCCTTGAAGCGGGCTTCAATTTTTTGCAGCATTATATGCAAATGGGATTCTCTGGTCCCGCGGGTGTCCAAAGATGTCAGGAGAGCATCAAAAGCCTGCATACAAACCTTAATTAGATTACTGTATGAAATCATTAAAAGCTTAAACAAAAATTAAATATTGTAAAAAAGGAGTTCCTGTAATAGCAGTATACAACAAACTGGAAGGAGAGATCAAACAGAGATGATTATGAGACATTATTTAGCGTGTCAAAGATGAATATCTAATTTGATTTCATCTTCAGCCTAGTGTTCAGAGGACAAGATTCTATTCCAAGCCAAATATAGAACATCATAAAATCATAGGTTTAGGCAAAGTGGGAACGGGATTTCCAGTGTGAATGCCATTGCCATCATCATATTTCTTAACCAAACCAGAATCCTACACACACATATGCACATAGTTGATTACTACTTAGCAGCACAAAATAGAAAAATCACAGAAATGTAATAAAAAAACTAAAAAGAATGAGAAATATGAAAAAAAAAAAGAAAAAAAAAAATTGCAAACATGCTACTACCTCCTCAGTATCAATAAGTCTCCAACTGCCACTGGATGACTCAACAAATATTCTGCCCGAACCAGGATCCAAGCAAGAAGCTGTAGCCACAAATTGCCAATAGTGATTTCTCCTTCTGTCTTGACCCAGAGGCAGGGACCTGTAGACATAAAGTTCTTCTGCCCTATGGCCTATATAAGACTTTAGCTGCAAGCGAGACCTATCTGTGGAATGTCCGTTCTGCAAAGCTGGAGAAATAAACTGACCCATGGATGCATCCTGGGCATGATTATCAATGGAATTTTGAAAATTCTCCGCCATTTCACTTTTCCCAATACTGTTTGCTGATGGATCATACATTTTATTTTGCACAGCAACTAGCGGACACAAACTACTCTCTCCAGCAGCATTGAAAGAAGAATCATAAAGCTTGGTAATAATTTCCTCCCTCAATCGCCTTTTGTCCAGCTGAGCTTCGGCCCACATCTGCTTTTTAAGAGCATTTGCAGCATCCATCCGTTCCTGCACAAAATTTCCATAGATAAAAGAATTCATATCCAACTAGAAGCCTCATCTTAAAGTTTTCTACTTTCACCATGAACACTTTAACATCACAGACCTCAAGAATTACACGAATCGAATTCCCTTCATTTGCAATGCCAATCAAGGCCACAAGAGCATTGAGACGCTCCTCAACCGATAGATCAGAATATTCCCCTTCAGTGAGTCCCTGGACCCAGGGCTCCCCCGACTTGCTTTCATCAATCTCAACACCTTGTTCAGGATGTTCCTCCCCAGTATCTTCAGAAACATCATCAAGTGAATAAGTAATGATAGTCATTTGCAGTTTTCAGAATCGACAAAAGGAAGAATACGTTATATCCCCAGACGAAAGGAAGAATAAGTTATATCCCACCCAAAAAAAAAAAAAGGATGTGCATATCGTACCAACATTACCAACTTCATTTGGCAGAGCAGTAGGATCAGGAAGCTTGTCTTTAGCATCACCAGAGCATGACCCAATTTCATTGTATTCACCATGTTTGTTTATATCAACTAATGGAGTAGCTAAAGCATCTATTTCTGCACCCTCCGCACCATCGCTATCTGAATCATCATCATCCCTTTCGTCCTCTTCACCATTTTGACCAGCCAGAAAACCATTGCCGTACCTCTGTATTTTTTCTTTAGCTGAAGCAATTATTGATTCAGCATCAGCAGGATCCTTTCTGAAAGCTGGACGTACACAGTATGTAGAAGGAGCAATTCTTTCAAACAGTACTGGATCCCTCGACAAGGCAACAGATATGGAAGCCTCCGGAGTCTTGCTTGTTGTCAGGTCACGGAGCCCAGATTTCTAGGGAAAATTAAATTAGGTTGTTAGGGAGGGAGAAAAAAAGCAAGAGCTGATGTACAAAATTGTAGCTACTACTTACTTGAATCTTGTCAGCAAGTTCAATAACATTTAGTCCTTTGCTTCCCTCAAGAGCAAGAACATTGTATGCAGCAAATTTAACAGTTCCAGGAGTTAATCGGTGCCTGGATTTACGCTGGAGAGTGGAACCTTTCTCTTGCATAATTGCAACGGCATTCTCAACAGCTGAACCATTGCGCAAGGTAGACACAACCTCTTCACACCCTTTACTCTGAAAAGTAACAAGCATTTATCAATGGTGAGATATCTACAGGACTTCATGGATGTGTAGTTGTGTCAAACGGAATTTTATGCTAAAACCACAACTTTTATATTTCACAATACATTAAGATCTTATTGGTGATACCAACAGGCGCAAATTTGAAAAGTCAGAAAGACTAATCCGGTAATTGAGAGGGACAGAGGATAAACAAAAGTACCTCATCATTGTCATTTGAGGAACCCCGATTGGTGCCCTTTTTCTTCAACTGTGGCCCAAAACCAGCAGACAGAGCAAATTGCCTTAATACCTCTGGCCATGTTAGTGGACTTAAGTGCTTCTGCCAGTTTCTTATGTCGAAACCCCATGCGTATGCCTGTTACAGCATAGGAAATGAACATGACTGCAGCAATATCCTAAAATAAGCATAGGGAAGCACTGAAATGAGGGAATACCCCTTGAACAATTTGAGGATGCCCTCCTTCAGGATTAACAGCACTATATTGGTTTGTGCTTGGTCCACTTGAAGGAGTTCTCACAACATCTCCAATATCTTTAATAACGAGTTTCAGAATTGCAATATGTACCTCACCAAGCAGCCTTGAATCCTGCAAAAGAGAGCACCGACTGATTATCACTCTCAATAGCTATTCCTTAAAATAGAAAGATTGATGGAGAGCACAAACAGAAAGGAAATGGGCAAGATAAGATCAGCTAGCAATGAGCATGAAAACAAATCATATCCTCACTTACATAATCATGCAAAGCTTGTACGAATTCATCAATGGTAAAAGGCCAAATCCCAATAACATCTGCAAATGTTACGCAAAATTTCCAGACCTGAATGAAGCAAAAATTATTTGAGAAATTAATAAGCATCTCTGCAGTTTATTAAATGAAAAACACATAATATACTATAGACAGAATATTTTTTATTTTTTTTAAATTATTACCATCATGAGATTGCCAACGTTTTCATCTGAACCTATCCAAGGCTGGATGACAAGAGGCAATTTCAATTGTACAGACTTCGGAGGGAATTCACACAAGGCATCTGAATCACATTGAATGTAACTTAGATTTTGAAATATTTTAAACAAGAGGACCCTAATCAGTTTATATATAATAGTATTGTTGCAAGCCATACTGACCTCGAAACAACTCAAGATTTTGCAAAGAGTCATAGTCAAGAGACAGAATTGAAGGAAGCCCTTTGCTCGAAGCAGCCAATTCCATCATCTCCAGGCGCTCATCTTCTATGAAATCCATAGACTCTTTAGCAATTCTCCGTGCCACGGCTCTCTCCATGGCAGCTCTTTGTCTTGCTGCTTCCTTCTCTCTCCGGAGCTCCTCTTTCTGTTTCCTCCTCTCTGCCTGGCATAATGAAAATTAAAGTGAATGTAATTGTCACCCAAAAAATTACATTACTTAAAAAACAATTAAACAGAAATAAGAATGTCTTGAAACGTACTCGCAGAAGTTCCTTTTGCATAAATTTCTCCCTCCGTTCCATTTCACGCCTTTCCTCCCGCTGAAATTTCTCCTCCTGCTTTTGCTGCTCTCGCATCATTCGTATTTCTTCTTTCCTTCGCTCACGATCTTGCCTCTCCATTTCTTTCCTCATTTGCTCCTCCCTCTAGGAAGGACAATATAATAATATTGCGGGACTTGAGCAAAAAAAAACTTAACTCCTACTATAGCAGGTTCAGTTGCACGAAGCTTGAGCAGTTCAAGATTATTAAAGAGCGAAGAGATCAGACCTTCCGCCTCAAAAGATCTTGCTTCTCAAGCTCTTTCCGGATTTTCTTTTCATCGGCTTGAACTTCTCTTCCAAGTTGAGCTTCATCACTCTACACGATAAAATTAACAAAAGGACTTGTATCACAGAAAGAATAACTAAAACATGCGACAACACCATTGTAATTATCTGTAAATACCGTGCGTTTTCTCCCCATATGCGGACTGTTATCATTGGGTATAACAAAATCCGTATTAACCCGAGATGATGCGAACTGCATTTGCCTGCTTGGCTGATGAGAATGCATATCCATGTCTGATACCTGGCCTTCAACATGTTCCCTGGGAAGATACACATGTAAATGAATATCAGACAAAACCTTTTGAGGTAGGACCATTAGGTGAGTCATAGACGTACGATGGGGTCGCATGCCCATAGGCGTCAGTTCTAATTTTAGACTCCACTCCTTGAGTACCAGTATATGCAGCCTGAGAATAGAGTAATCAAACATGTAAAAAATCATATGACAATCATATCAGTAAATAACCAATAAGTGATGTAAACCCACATTTGTTAGAGAACCAACTTTGATACGCTTTGTGTCATAATTCCCATGCAAATTGCTATCATAAGAACGTATGTATCTGTTGTGCTGCTCTCTCGGCACTGTCATGCAACACGATTTAAAAACAAGATGTTAGTAGTTTTACGTTAAAACCTCCCAAGCCACTGATAATGCAACTATTGAAGGGGAAAGAAACATAACCCAAAATATCAAGTCTACAAATATCAGCAACCCAGTAGTCACAAGGAAAAAGAGGCAGAAACTCTTAAGCCTTTAGACTACCAAGTGATGCTAAAAGAAATTTAAATACTAATGTGCAACACATCGCATAGCCTTAATGCTAAAAAAGCTTGACCTTGTTGCCTATCGAACATTTTCAACAAAGGCATATAATCATCAAGTTCATTCATTTACATATTACCGAGAACACCAGTCATCCGTAGAATATAAATAATTTCCCATCTTTGATTCCTACAGCCAAGACAACATTACAACAGAACTAAAACAAGTGTACCTATGGGTGCACCAAATGCACCAGGGGGCGGATCATCAAACTCGATTCCGAGAATAGGCCCATCTTCCCTTAATGGCTCTCCCAATTGTGCCTCCACACAAGCTATCACTCTTCTCTCCATAATCACCTGAGGTGACTCATAATACCTTGGCGGCACCATTGGAGTATCATCTCTATTATTGAACCCACTAGACCCTGAACCTGACCCAGACCCAGACCCTGATCCAGAACCAGAACCAGAGCCATGTTCACTGACAGGCTCAATCGGCATTAACTCCTCCCTTGGGGACCCAATGAAACCCTTACTCCCAGTGGGCCCAGCGACGCGTGGCTTTGTGGCTGAGACACCTGATGCCTCCTTTTTATCCTTCAACCGCCTATGACAGAACCACATCTGCAGTTGCCGGTCGGTTAAACCTAATTTCTGCGAAAGTTCTGCACGAATCGCCTCGGACGGGTACATGTCCACTGGTGGAAAAAAAAACGAGCACAAATGTCATCAATGGACCATACATCCCAGAAGACTCGCTAGAAGAAGCCCCTCACACACACAAACATTCAATCCACAAATTCTGGTTTCATAAACAAACATAAATTCAAGAGCTTTTTTTATTCGGAGCCTTAATACTCTGTCAAACCAAAAGAAAATCGCTATCAAAACCATAAAAATGCCAAAAGAATATCGCATAACCTCAATACACTAATTTACTAAACAAAATATATATATATATATATATTTACATAGAGAAGAACACAAAACATAAATCAGAAATGAACATATGGGCACAGTCACCAGATGAATACAGGAAAAAAAAAAAAAAAAAAAAAAAAA